TGAGTCCCACCACCTGGGAGAAAGTCAAGATCTGTCTGCAAAGGATGAACTGGCTGCATGGAAGAGAGGCCCAAGGTGAGCACACAGCAGGGGCAAAGCAGGATGGATGGGGGGAGAGGGGGTGGCATGGGGGGATGGCAATGAAGAAGGCAGGACAAAGCAGCCCTGGTAAGCAAGGGTGGAAAGGGGCTGAGGAAAATGACATCTACCAATCACACGCATGTACAAGCCACAGATGAGCCAGGGGCTTTGGAGGTAACACACACACTTCTCTCCTAAGCTAAAAAGGAATCGCTGTGCCAGTCAGGAAAGTGGGAGCATCAGGCACAGAGAAGGACTGCATCCTGAGCAGCTCCGGCAGGTTCAGCACAGGAACCGGCTGAGCCCAGGAGGCTCCCACGCATTTCTGCTTTTCTTATAGAAGTCCCCTGCACAGGCCACATAGTCACCCCTGGGCCAAAGGAGGGCAGGGGACTCAGATTCACTCCTTCACCAAGAGAGCAAGCAATGGTGGGGAAGGCCTTCCTCCCAAGGAGATCAGAAGGGAGGCAGGAAGGTACGAGGCACCTCCTGTCTACCACAAGTACTGAGCCAGATGCTCTCTACTTAATTCTCACAGCCACCCTACGAGTTTGTACTATTGGCTACCTTTTACTGGTGGGAAAACTGAAGCATAGAGAGGTCACGTGGCCTGCCCAGGAACACGAGGCAGTAAGTGATGAACTGAGCTTGGTCTGCCTGATGCAGGGTATCGTGTGCCCTCTAAGCCACCCAGCTGCAGAAGGCGGCAACAAAGAGATGCAGGATGGCAGGCAAAAGGCTGCCCACATTTTACATTCTTCTTGACCACTACTGCTAGGAAAGAATAGAAAATCTCTGGTGATGAGTCTAAACCAAAGGAACTGTGCTTCAAAAGGTAAAGAAAATCTTAGAACAGATCTATCCTGAAGTGCCCAATAACTTTTATCTTCAAAACCCACGGTAACAACAAACCCATTTTCTCTGATGCCTAGAGCTACAAGAGGGAGGAGAACTTTACAAAGGAAATTCCAGGTATCATTACTAACAATCCCAAAGAAAAAGGGAGGAACATTCTAGAAGCTCCAGCTAAGTGCACTAGCTCTGCAGAACTGCTGTTACAGACATGGCGCTAGGACCCAAGGAGGTGTCTGCACCTCACCCTGCTTCCTAAGGATCATGGCAGACACATCTACTTAACCCCTGAGAGCTGAGAGCTCCCTGAAGTTATGGTGTGTGGTTCATCCTTATGACCCAGGACCAGACTTGGGTAACAAAGAGCAAACGCTATTCATAGATGAACCATCAATGCCTTTGCAGTCAAAGAAAGAACTCCACCTAGGAAAGTAAATGCCATTTGAGGGGCATCTCCTATGACCTCACACATTTTGTGGCTCATACCCCAGAACCATCTCCCAGGATAGAAAGCCACTGCAGGTGGAGAAAGGAAGCTAAAGGCTGGGCACCTGGAAGGTACTAAATAACTACGCACTAAATGAGCTGGTAGCATCCGTCTGTCTGTTACTCAATGTCATCTCCAGACTCTGCAAACTAAACTTTCTCCTAACACTGAGAGCCAGGAAAGGTCTGCCTCCTCTAAAGAACTATGTTTCCTCCTATTAGATACCTGTCCCTCCCACCAGGATGCTCCGAGCCCTGGTAAGGCCATAGCACAATTCACCTTTAATCTGGGGTTCCAGAGTCAGATCTGTCACTCTTCAACCATTACTCTGAACAGCTGAATCCATTCAATAAACTGCCACTCCCCTCAATATTTATGGGGCTCCCACCATATGCAGGAGCTGTGTCAGTCAATGAATATGCAATTAAAAAGATAATGCTCCCAGTCCCCAAGGAGCTCCCAGCTAGTGTTCTACCACAATTTGCTTCAGAAGCAGGTAATTCCAACCATATGAGACATCTCCATTCCCTTCTTCTGTAATAACTAAGGGTATGAGGGTCCCGTTTCAAATCTGTTATCAAGGGCTGGCTTTCCCCTCGGCTCCCCTCTCTCTCTCTCTCTCTCTCTCTCTCTCTCTCTCTCTCTCTCTCTCTCTCTCTCTCTCTCTCTCTCTTTTTTTAAATATATTTTATTGATTTTCCACAGAGAGGAAGGGAGAGGGATAGAGAGCTAGAAACATCGATGAGAGAGAACCATCAACCAGCTGCCTCCTGCATACCCCCTACCGGGGATATGCCTGCAACCAATGTACATGTCCTTGACCAGAATCGAACCTGGGACATTTCAGTCCACAGACTGACGCTCTATCCACTGAGTCAAACTGGTTTCGGCTCCTTCCATTCTCTTAACGGTGATGAGCCTTCTCTGCTGTCCAGTCTATCTTTCGGTTCCTCGATGAGCTCACTTCCGGAGCAGAGCAGGGTTATGAGTCTGGGCTCCAGTGCTGGATGGCCTGGCTGATTTGAATCCAGCTCTGCTTCTGACCAGCTGGAAACTCTGGGGCAAGTTACTTAACTTCCCAAAACGCTATCTGTGAGCAGAATCTTCCTCTCAGGAAGCTGCTGACGACTGCAGCAGTCCATCTCTGTAAAAGCCTTAGCATGGTGCATGGTGCCTGGAAATAAAAGTGTGCACCCCACAGCTGGCCACTGGCACTACAGTAGCTGGCTTATAATTAGTGTGTTTATACTAACGTTTCTCCCCTGCCACTTGTTTCCAAAAGTTAACCATCACAGGGTGTCAAGAACAATCTTTCTACCTCCAGTCCTTGGCTCCTGACACACACACACACACCAGCTAATAAACAATGGCTTCATGTTGACTTTGGGCTCTGAGCTGACCGGATGCGAGACGCCTGGTCACTGAGCATGAATGTGTAGTGTTCAGGGCTTGTGTGCAAATGGGTGAGGTAAGCTTTTTTAAATATATTTTTTATTGATTTTGGAGGGAGAGGGAGAGGGGAACAATGAGAGAGAATCACTGATTGGCCACCTCCTACAAGCACCACTCTGGGGATCAAGCATATGTCCTGACCAAGAATAGAACTGTGACCTCCTAGGTCAACACTCAACCACTGAGCCATGCTGGCCAGGCGAGTAAGGTGGTTTTAATGCTTTGAGAGACACCTAGAAAAGAATGTTCAGGAACTGCCTTTTGATTGGGATGAATCACAAAAAAGTAATTAAAAGGTTGTGGTACTTCAAATAGTCATGCTATTTACATTGAGATGTTTCTTCTTCTGAAATGGAAAGAAAATTGCATCAACTTCTCTCCCACACTCTTTCATCACTCCACTCCAACACGTGTTTACAACCCTTTTTTGGCAAAAGCCAACTCATTAATAGAATGACAAGACAAGCATCACACAAAACACTATAAAGAGCTCAATTAATATTAACAGAGAGGGTCCCACAAAAGTCTTGTTGCAATGAAATGCTAATATTCATACGTGAAAGATCACTGACAGAACCACACTTTGCAACCAAAATAAAGAAAAATCAATCTAGAATAGTATATTCCACTAAAGGAACAGCTGTGCTTCAGCCTCAACATCTCAGCTCATTAATGATAATCATCAACTCTACTGCTCCTGGCATTAGGGAGTCACAGAAACACAGAAATCTCTACACCAAGAATGTCAAACTTGAGGCCCACGGGCCACATGCCTCATTTGTTTGGCCTGTGTTAGTCTCTGAGTTTGACATGCTTGCTCTACACCCACCCACTGCTCCTTCTGCAGTGGAATTCAGCATTTCACTCTCTGGCAGCTAACAGGAGCCACATGCAAGTGGATCTGACAGTAACTGGAAGATACGACTATATTCTCAGATGTGTGTACACATGCAAAAATAAGTGACTTGTAATAAACACAACCACGTGACCACCATATACACACACCTCTGTGTATTTCATATACCAGTTATGTAATCAGAAACTAGCCTCCCAGCTTTCCCACTGAATATGGGAATAATTAATGGTCTCTGATTTTTAAAAATAAACAACTTTATCATATCAAAGAAGTACCTTTAATCTTCATTTATAAAGAATATTTTTTATCAGATATCAACAATCAATATTATCAAATGGCTTTTCAGCACCCATCAAGATCAATATCTGCTTTTTTTCTTTTGACCTTTCAAATGAGCTGACCTGATGAATTTCCTAACATATTAAGCCATCCTTGAAATCCTATATATCAATAAATCCTACTTTCATATGGATTGTTCCTTTAATGTGTGACTGAATTTGATTGGGTAATATCTTTCTAGAATTTTTATGCATTTGTGTACAAATGAGGTGAGTCTATAGTATTGTTTCTTAGACTATCTTTGTAGGATTTTTATATCAAAGTAAAGCACACTTGAACCAAGATACAGAGATATGATTTATAGATCTATAGAATTCTTAGACTATCTTTGTAGGATTTTTATATCAAAGTAAAGCGCACTTGAACCAAGATACAGAGATATGATTTATAGACCTATGGATTACGCCTTAAGGAAATATAAACAGCAAAGGGCTTTTTGGCAGACTTAGAGGGCTTCCTAGAAACCACCATAAAACCACCCAGGCTTGCTACCTTCCAGGGAAACAGTTGTTTAATTACTTTTATAACTTTCTTATACCAGTTTTTTGGTACCCTTCGGCAATTTGCCTCATCATCAATAAATTTTGTTATCTTAGAAATGTTATCTTAGAAAATAAAATAGTCCATATTTTCACATTTATCAGCCCAAAGTTGTATGTGACATTCTCTCCTGTTTTTAATCTTCTCCAAACTCAGGGTAGATATATTTTCTTATTTTTAACATTACATATTTATGTCTTCTCTCTTATTTCCTGGCCAAAAGTACCACATTTTCAAGTAAATAATATGTTTCAAAGAACCAGCTCTTACCTGCCTTTACCAAGTGCAGTGCTGTGACTGTTCTGCTAACATCTGTGTAGCAGGCTGGGCCTATGCCTGGGAAGTCCCACGGCAGTCAGCATCAGCAATAAAGGCACAGACTCCAAGCCTTACCTCGATGAGCTTCCTTTCATAGGAGCTCGCTAGATCCTCAGCAACTTCTCCCGGCCTCTGCTCGGCAACAGTGACTTCTCCATCGACATTCCAAAGGTTGGGTACCACTTTAGGGAAAGAAAGACATTCAATAAATATTTTAACAGTAATCAAACATTATTCTTCCAGGGGATATGGATGGATGGATATATATATATATATATATATATATATAGCACACACATATATATGCATACACACACACATATGTGTGTGTGTGTGCGCGCGCGCATATATATATATATATATATATATATATATATATATATGGAAAACATATATATATATATATATATATATATATATATATATGTTTTCCAAGTAGCTTCTCCAGGGAGAATTCTCTTTTTAAGAGGGAAAAAGAATCACAATTACTAGTTACTTCAACATTACAACATTTCCACCCAATGGAACAGTGTAATAAAGTGAATGATAACACATATTTAAAAATGGAAGAACTTTCCTAGAGACAAATGCATATCCCAGGGGCTGGAAGACGGAAAAGCCTATACCTAAATTCTTTACATTAGTCAAATGTCTTTTTTTCTAATAACAAGTTTTCCACTGAGGCTGTGCCTGCCTACAGCCAAGTGAACTGGCAGTGGGGGTCAGAGTGCATGTGGAACCAATACGAGTTGGCACTGATAAACTGTACTTAGAATGAATAGACATCTTAGAGCCATGGTGGGCAAACTGCGGCTCACGAGCCACATGCGGCTCTTTGGCCCCTTGAGAGTGGCTCTTCCACAAAATACCATGGCCTGAGGGAGTCCATTTTAAGGAAGTGGCATTAGAAGAAGTTTACATTTAAAAAATTTGGCTCACAAAAGAAATTTCAATCATTGTACTGTTGATATTTGGCTCTGTTGACTAATGAGTTTGCTGACCACTGTCTTAGGGGGACTGGCTCCCAGGTGAGCACAGGAGCCGGCAGGGTACTGGTGGGTGAGGCTGAGAGAAGAGGAAAAGACATGGAGGTCAGGTTAAGAAGCTGTGGCTTTAATGAATAGGCACTGAAGGCTATGCATGTGCAGTGATGTTTCAGGAAGACTGAATGACGGAGAGGTGAAACTTGGGTCTGTCTTAAGGTAATGTAGGGGGTGGTACGTACGTTTTCAGTAAATATTTGATGTGTGCGATGACTAGACAGAGGACAGATGGAGGGGTAAGAAGAAAATACTATGTGGCATTAGTAAGATACAATAGAGACTAAAATTAGGCCTTTGCAGAGGTTGGACATTGAAAGCAGGGAAGACTGTCAAAGGATTCAAGGGAGGATTTGACTTGGGCGCAGACTAAGTCAAAACAAAGTAATTCAGTAAATGCTCTTGAGCACAGCATGCTCCGTGCTCTCTAAACAGCCAACTGAACAGCCTGGATCAACCCGGAGGGCTTTACTGTATAAAATTTAAAAATTAAAAGAAAAACTTCCATTAAAATAACACAGCTGACACCAAAAGGTATTTCTACTTTTTGGTATGTACCCATATATGTTTACTCTATAGAGAAGAGTAAATAAACGAAAGCTGGGAATGAGCCAGATAACTGCAATGAAAGTAGAACAAAAGATGCAGTGGCGGCAGTAAGAACATGGACCAGCCCAAGTCGGAAACCAGCAATGACTGTGCAGATCCAGCTTCCAGGTGTCTGCGAGTGAAGCCCCCGGCAGCCCAACACAGTGTGATGAGGGGGCCGTGAGGCAAAAGGAGATCCTAAGGCCAGCCCTGCAGTGACTGGGATCTGAGAGACAAGGGGATGGGTGAAAGGCAGTGGCACCAAGGGAGTGAGACAGTGAAAGTGGGCAAAGGCTGAACAACAATGGGGGTCACTGCCGAAACTGGTTTGGCTCAGTGGATAGAGCGTCGGCCTGCAGTGGACTGGAAGGTCCCGGGTTTGATTCCAGTCAAGGGCATGTACCTTGGTTGTGGGCACATTCCCAGTAGGGAGTATGCAAGAGGCAGCTGATCGATGTTTCTCTCTCATTGATGTTTCTAACTCTCTATCCCTCTCTCTTCCTCTCTGTAAAAAATCAATAAAATATATTTAAAAAAAAAATCAATGGGGGTCACTGAGCCTGAACTGCCCAGTGGCTCCGCCCCAGCCCCTGGCTAAGCCTCCACCGGACCTCAGCTGGTTAGAGCCCACAGAGGCGGCAAGTTCCTGAGTGGCAGTAGGGAGCACACAAGCATGAAGTCCTAAGTTGTTCCCGCCGGGTGGTGACTACAGTTCCACCCCTACCATAGGGAGTGACCAAACCACAACCTGAGGCCTGAAATAGGTGCTTTAAAAAACTAAAAAGGACTTCCAGGTCAAGTTGCCAGACTGACACACTAACTTACATTCACATCTTCTCAGAATCCCACTAAAATACCAATTTAAAAGTCCTTTCTAAAAGCCTCGCCCTTAAGGAGAAAGAGAATGAGAGAGGAAATAAGACTATTGAATTTTAGAAGCTAAGAGGCAAGTAGATAACCTGTGAGTAACCTGACGAAACGGAGAAAATGTCCTTCTTAACTGAGAGTGGGCAACACCAAACACCCTCTGATAAAAACGGAAAAACCCGCAAAAGGCCGAGCGATCGATCGCTAGCACCAGGCTCTTCTGGGAGCTGGAAGGAGCATGGGCTCAGAGGAATGTAACCCGAGACTAAGGGTTCCCGCTCCAGGAAAGGTAAAACCATAGGTTTGGACCCAGTTAAAGGCAAAGGTAGCTTATGGAAACAGGGATATAAATGAAACACACAGATTTCAAGATTCAACCACCTTCTCCCCCCCCTCCCCCCTTACCCAGCTTCCCATTCCCAGAATAGCTGGCAGACAACCTATACTTGTAAGTAAAGGAAGAGAAAAGTATTTTCCTGTAAATCTAACTAACTGGAGGGAAAAGATCTGAGGAGACCAATTTGGGGGGCGGGTTCCTCTCCTGTGAAAGAGCAGAGCCAGATCACCCCCCAGGAAATGATGAAAGATTCTAAATCAGTGTTTCAGTCCCCACACCTGCCTCTGACAGCCAGCCAGAATCACCTTCTACTTGAGACGAGCGCCTAAGGTGGAAAGACAGGGACCAGAATAACCAGACAGAGAAAAATAACTCATTGGAGAAAGACACAATTTAGGGAGAAGTACACTTCAAGAGCAAGCTATCGGTAATATTCCCGGAGAGAGAGGAGATGGTGTAGCTGAGAAACAATAATAGACATTTATTTTAAAAGGAGAAAAAAAATTAAGAGAGCGAAAAAGCTCTTCCGGAGAGCAAAACTGTGATATCCAAAAGGAACACTAGACATAAAGACAGGGAGGTAAGAAAACGTCCAGAAAATACAGCCAAAGGGTACAAAAAGGAAAACAAGAAATGAAGAGTTACCACATGAGAAGAGTTAATAAAAAGTGGGGGTGGGGAGGACATAACACAGAGAGGACGAAAACAAAGATATAATAATTCCAGAAAAGCCCCGGAACCAGGAGACAGGAGAGCTGAGCTGGGAGAGCTCTGAGGGCGGCCAGCAGGACACACCGCACTCTCATGCCTCTCGATGAAGTCTCAGCCTGGACAAAGAGAGGGCACAGAGCCCAGTGTGAAAGCAGAATTATGCAGTGGAGAGAAAGGAGAAATGGCACAGGGTTTCTTAACAGCAGGCGTGGGCCGAAAAGCAACGAGTGATACGTTGCCATCCTCCAGGGAAGACTTTCTGAGCAAGGAGGATGCCCAAGCCAAACCACATGAGAAGCAGGTCAACCCACTTGCAGATATACAACCTCTCAAAAACTTGAAAAGAGAAGAAATCCAGTTACAGGAAATCTGAGATTCCAAGAAACTGGGGACCCAACACTAACATAAGTGAGAAAATCATTCGTAACCACCAAAAAGTAAAAACAACATATACAGCCATCACAGGTGACTGATGGATATAGAAAATGGGGGCTAGCCACATGGTGGAATAGTATTCAGCCATGAAAAAGAATGAAGTATTAATACATGCTACAACACAAATGAACCTTAAAAACAATCATGCTAAGTGAAAGAAGCCAGATTAAAAAAAGCTTCTATTTCATGATCCCATTTATACAAAATGTTTAAAAAGAGAAAAAAAAATATTGGCTTCCAGGGATGTGAAGAAGGGCTGGGGAATGATTGCTAATGAGTACCATAGGACTGATAAAATGTTTTGAAATTTGAGAGTGATGATGGCTGCACAATCTTGTGAATATACCAAAACCCCCTGAATTGGGTACTTGCATGGTATATGAATTGTATCCGAATATAGGGGAGGAGGAGCAGCAGCCCCTGTGGCAATGGCAGCGGTGAAGTGGGGGGAGCAGGATTACAGAGGGGCCAGGCTTCCAGCCACGGAGGCCAGAGGACTCCAGGTGTGACAGCTGCCTCAGTGTGAGCATACTGAGGAAATCTACATAACTAAGAGAGCATTTGGAGATGAATTAGTTTTAAGTACATAGAACATCAACCAAGTTAAAGTAAAATGATAAGTATTAACTCAAAAGCAATAAAAAGCTGTGCAAAAATAATGATTATGTACCTCACGGCTCAGCTGGATGGCATTTTCAGAGTCATAATAATGTAATCATGGACCAGGGATCGAACCGAAAAGATTATATGTCTGTGCTGGAGAATGTGTGTGTGTGTATGTGTTTTGTGGGGGCGGAAAGATCAAAGAAAGCTAATCATCATCTTCCACAGAGAGAACTCGATAAACAGCACCTACAGTGGAGAAATCAACAAGTGGCCACAGACATGTTATTCAGAGATATCAAAGTAACTACCAAAAGAATTGGTTGAAAGGTTTAAAGCAGTGCCCTGGCGGTATGACTCAGTGTGAGCATACTGAGTTTCAGCCCACACATTGAAGGGTGGTGGGCTCGATTTCTAGTCAAGGGAATGTACCTGGGTTGCTGGTTCGATCCCAGACCCAAGTGGGGGCCCATGTGGGAGGCGATCAATTAGTATGTGTCTCTATCACATATATGTTTTGTTTTCTTTTCCCCACCTCCTTCCACTCTCTAAAAAAACAATGGAAAAAATATCCTCAGGTGAGGATTAACAAAACAGAACC